AAAAAAGGAATGTTTTATCGTAGCAATGTTTTTTGCTTGGAGACTTTTGTAAACGAATCAACTTTTTATATAACTGTTGAAAATTTTTACACATACATGGTAAAATGATAATCGAGATGCAACAAATACAGTTATAAAATACATTTTACAATAGATTTTGCGTATTTATTTTTCCTGCTTATTACATATAGAACGGAAGGAATGCCATGGTAGTTTACAAAATAGTAACATATACTGCCTATATTCTAACGCCATTTATGCAACACATACGAATCGATGCGCTTCATTTTTATCGTCCACCACAATTATCGTTTAACTAATTTATACAGTTATATACAACATATGCATTAATGTACAAGATGTAGAGTATGGGGATGAATATTGAGAACGTCGTCTATTTTTCCAATGGTGCATAATTCAAAAGTTTCTCAATCAAATCGACGTGTCCGAGGAGCATTCTGCGGCAGCAGTATCTCTTCAATCCGAGTGCATCGAGTGCATCTCTGCAATGCATAAATAAGCACATTTACATGGTAACGATATACACTTTTCCAACAAACATGTTACAAGGTATTATTACTTATAGATCAACAAAAATATAATTTGCTATTGCCACACATTTTAGGCGTTCGATATACGTAGACTTGTTTATCTCGTGGGTTCTACGAAGTCTCGAAAGTAAGGTTAGAATTTTATCGACGGATAAACTAGTCCATAAATGATGAGAAATTATTTATTTACATATCGATAAAATGTAATAATTACCCCTCTGTGTATTCGGCCTGCAGCAGACCAAGATAAGCTTCCCATTTGTTGCCAATCACTTTCCCGCAAGTAAAACAACGCACCGGTATAATCATGCTTATAAATTGGTTCGAACTGTGGTTCAAACTGTGTTCTCTCTTTTGCCACCAGAGGGATATACATACAATAATGGGTTTTACTCCTGCAGACAACCAGAACGCAGCATGATCCGTTAGCGAGAGTGAATATAGAAATTTTCTTCGCTCCGATTTTCTTCGCTAACGAATCGCTGCTGAGATAAGATCCATTGCGGATTGGATGCGCGGAATTGGTTTATTAGAGAGCGGGAAACGATCGAGAGAGACAGAACGAAACCAGCTAGAGCTCTGTGCGGAAGTGTTTCACGGGAGCGAAACACCGACGAAAACTTACCACGTCTCGCTTTATCGTGCTCTCGATCTCGCCCTTTTCGTGCGTCCGTTTGCCTGGTGCTCCATCTGAAACACTTGGCGCAATATTCGATTCGTACTTTTCACCCCGTAGGAACACGGGCGCCTATGCGCTCGAGCACTCGAGCATGCGAAGCGAGATCGAGGGCTAATCTTGCCGTGAAGATTGACCGCGAAATAGAAGAATGCGCTCGGGATTTCGTTGTCTCGAGGCGGGGATGCGACTGATAGTGACTTCGGAAAAGCCCTTTTTAGAGATCGTATCGCAGAAGCCGAAAATCGAGTAATTCTCGATATCGGGGCAATGGTCTGGCCTTGAAAATCCCCTCAAAAGAATTATTTATTCGTATCCTTACGATATTAAACTTTAAACGATTATTATTTCTTAACAATGCAAGTTACGATATTCTTACGAAAGGGAATGTATATACAGTGACTCGCATTAATATTATTAGAAATATTATTTTTACTGTTTACGATAGTCCGAATATTTTTGTGACGTTGAATTTTGTCGCAGTCTTGTTTATCGCTTATTATACGAAAGAATATGCGCGATAAATAAACAAAATTCACGTTTCTATTTGCTATAAGAAGTGCTTTAATATATGAGAAAACAATTGAATCGATAATACTGTCGTAAACGATAAAAAGAAGCAATAATTTTTCTAATAATATCGTGTCCGAATATTAATGCAAGTCACTGTTGTAACTCGTAGGACAAACTTCGAACTTGGCCGCGTTTTTCTCGAAGCTGACAAAAATACCGACCGATAAACAAAGAATTTACGGTTCTCGGTTGTTTTCACCTTGCCCGCGTAAAAGACAACATACCCACACACACATATATATACACTGACTCCGTTACATACGAGATCAGATTGGTTCTGCGTTCTGCTTTCTCCTTTGTCCGCCAGATGGAAACATGTTATAACACGGCCAGTCACCTATCAAAAATCATCGTTCTAATTACCGCGTATCTCTCCTTATTTTGTCAGTTGGTTCGCGCAATCACCGTGCTGTATCGGGAGTGTATCGTGGCGATCGGAATTTTGGCGCCGTATCACCGACGCGACATCAGTGACAGCGTGAACGGTTATGTTAACGCGGCGTACATCTTGTACGCGTATCATTATTGTTGCACACCAAATCGTGTTTTCTCTCATTTATAAGATAAGAGTGATTGTGATACCTCTTATGGGGAAAAAATGAAACATGTAAAGTGGATGAAAAGAAAAACGTTATTAGGTACTGCCATGTAAACATACCAGTCGCAATTTCGTTTGTAATGATAGTATCTGCTTAGAATACATCTATTGTTTGCTTAGTAAGTAGATCTCTATCCTACCACTAAGTCAATCATATGAGAAATCTTGATTTTTCTCTGTATCATTAAAGGGATGCAATATGCTTAATCTCGTTGTCGAAAGCTTTTTAATGATAAATAGCACGTGTGCAAGCAATCATTTCAATCTCTGGAGCAAAGACCTTTTGTCTGAAATTATCTATTCCAAATGTTGATACTGCCTTGTTAAGATTTAATGAGAAACATTTGGAGATCGAACAGGTAAGTTAATATACATGTATATGTATATGTATATGGATACGAAATTACTGAAAATGATATTTTCTTTTTCTTTTGTTTCCCATTAAAAATATTTCAGTTTTTGGTAATATCGAGATTTTATAATAAATAAATTCGTACAATATAGCTCTGTCTCTTTCACTCGCTCCTTCTATTATTCACTCTCTTTCTCCTTTATTTTTCGATAATTCATAAATACATATGCACAGTGATTATCACGAATCGCCATTCGATGAATACAATATGTTGCGATCACGACTGCTGAAAAACGAATGAAATCAAGACTTCATGAATTGACAAGGTGTGTAGAACAGTAGCTTAGTCTACGTATGCCACTATAAATACTTGGTGAACGGGCTTTTGACTTCAACGAGCTCAAGGCTCGTTTTTCGATATAGTGAAAAATAGCTAAATAACCTGATCAAGGGCAGAAATCTAATGGATGAAATGTTCCGAATGCAAGGTGTCAAAGATGT